CCCCCCGGTCTCTCGTGGTCAAAAACATGATTCCAAGTTGGGTGCCCAATTCATATCATTAGGTATAATCTCTCTCTTGCTTCTCTTCTTTTTCTTCTTCTTCTTCTTCTCTAAGTTTCCATGGATGTTTTCCCACAGTCCCTTTTTCCCTGCTCAATAATTGTTTGTGTTAGGGTGAGAAAAATTGGTTGAGTGTAGTTGTGTGTGCTTAGTGCTGTTTAATAAAACAAATGGGGAAATCTGAGTGCCTAATATGTTCAAAGAAGCATAACTTCTCTTTGCTTTTTAAGTGTTCGATAATTTGACCGAGAGAATTTTGGTTGTTATGTTCCTTAAAATCTGGTTTAATCAAGTCACTTAATCATGTATTGCACTAATTTAGCAGTCTTGAGTATAAATTTTGTGCTAAAAACATGATTCGAATTGAATAGAATTGGAAGTTTCTGAGCCCTTGTAAATCTGGTGAAAATTGCTTCTGCGAAGAAAAGCCCGCAAATGTAGGCTCGCACCTGTGTTGACTATTCCGCAGGTGCAAAATTGGCTGAGATTTGAAAAACCCGCAGAAGTGGAGCTTCCTTTCGCAGAAGCAGAGTCGCACCTGCGATGATTTTTCGCAGGTGCAAAATCAGTTGATCAGTGAAAAATCATAGAAGAGGAAGTTTTCTGTAGAAGCAGAACCGCACCTGCGTTTATTTTTCTATAGGTGTGATGACTGAGCAAAAATTAAATTCTAGTAGCTTTGCATCTGTGGCTTGCTAGGCCTCTTTGGCTCGATTCTTTGGCCTAATTGATGTGTTTTGAATTGATTAACATAACTCTTATGCCCGACTAACTTGGTTTTGATTTTTTAGGTACTTTGAGCTTCAAAAATGGACCCAGCGACAAATAAAAATTAAGGAAGAAGTTGTGGAGGAGCAATTCGACATTGATCGCTTCATGTTTGCTGATTGTCATCGCTGATACTATGACAACCTTCTTGCAAAGAAGGTCCTGCTTGAAAAGGGGATCTCCGAGGGTAAATTGGCCAAGCTACTTCTAGATTTTTATGGCCGTCTACAAACCACCGGTTGGACTTGTTTCATGCCTACACCGTCTTATTCCAATAAGGAATGGGTTCGCGAGTTTTACGCAAAACCTAAGCGTACAAATTTCAATGATCCACAAACTATCATAAGGGGAAAAATAATAAGATTTGGACTTGAGCAGATCAATTATGTTTTTGGGCTTTCGTACCATGCACTTGAGCTGGTACGAGAAAAAGATACATGCTCAAACGGAGAGTGGCTAGCATCTAAACTTTATCCCTCAGATAGGAGAGCAAAGTGGTCCAGCAAGAGGAAGGGTTTAAAATCTATTGACTTCGTAGCTGAGGCCAAGATGTGGATTTACATCATCTGTAACAGAGTCTCACATTGTGGCAATGTCTCTAATGTTTCATATGTTAGGGCCTTGATGATCTCATTCATACTTGATAGTATTCATGTGAATGTCGGTTATTATATCATTCAGTAGTTGAAATAGTACTTGCTACAAGACAGTCCAGGCTTGATGTTCCCTTCATTGATCACAGAGTTGTGCCGGTGGGCAGATGTTGATATACGTAGCACTGATCGTTGGTTACCGGCAGACAAACCCTTTCATCCGTTGAGAGTGACAGATGAGGGTAATGCACTGAAAAGTAAGAAAAGGAAGATAACCATGGTTGCCGGACCAGAGTCCTCACAGGAAGCACTTCCAAGGAACCATTTGGGATGCTGAATTCCCAGGTTGTCTCCATTCGTGACTTAGTGTCACACCTCCCAAGTGTACCCTCGCACTCCCAGTCTATGCATGAGTAATGTACTAAAGAAGAGATGAAGACATACCTGAGAGGCCCAGAAAAAATAGGCAGAGTCTCATGAAAAGCTAGCAAATTATGTTAAGAGGCTCGAGGAAGCATATGTCAATATGGCCAAGGCTCATGTTGATCTCCAGGTAGACTTTCAGAAGGAGAGAGAAAAAAAAAACAAGAAGAAGGGCAAGTTCATGGTAAAGATGTGAAGAGTCATCAAGGCCATCTTCAATTGAGGTTAGCCAAACAAGAAGATACTGGTCGAGGACAAGGATGACAATGAGAAGTATTCTTTCTTGTCAGAGGATGCTGATGCTGATGATACCGGTGATAATGAAGTCGAGAGCTCTACACATCAGTGATGAGCCTCTTTCCGCAGTCTGCTAGTCTAATGTAGACCTCAGGTAGACCATCAAACTACTCTTATTTTATTCTCATATTGTGCAGTGAGGACAGTACAGTGTTTTTAGTTGGGGTGGCTTTAGGGAGTATACTTTATTTGTACATTAATGCTTGACTTGTGCCCTTGCTGGGCTTATATTTTTGTATGGATATTGTGTGCCCTTGCCATGCTTGTTTTACTATTGTTTATCATGTGCCTTTGCTAAGTGTAGTTTGTGATTGGTGGTGTATTTGCGCATTAGTCGCTTTTGTTTTTCTATTTTATTTTTATTTATTTAGTTATTTTCTATAGTAGTTTTTAGTTTATGTTATTT